GACATCGGGTAGGGCACACAGTTCACAAAGGTGACGTTCGTGTTGTCCCTTTGACCCTGAGAGGAGACGAGGAGATGAGACGAGGAGAGGAGACAAAGAGAAGAGAGGAGACAAGACGAAATGAGGAGACGAAATGAGGAGACGAGACCAGGAGAGGAGAGGAGACAAGGAGAAGAGAGGAGACAAGACGAAATGAGGAGACAAAATGAGGAGACGAGACCAGGAGAGGAGAGGAGACAAGGAGAGGAGACAAGGAGAGGAGATGAGGAGAGAAGGAAAGATGAGACGAGGAGACGAGGAGACAAGGAGACGAGACCAGGAGAGGAGAGGAGAAAAGACAAGAAAAGGAGAAGAGACGAGATTAGACCAGGAGAGGAGACGATACGAGGAGACACGGAGAGGAGACGAGGAGAGGAGAAAACACGAGACAAGGAGACGAGACGAGACGAGACCAGGAGACAAGGAGAGGAGACGAGGAGTGGAGAAAAGACAAGACAAGGAGAGGAGAGGAGAGGAGATGGAATGACAGGAGACAAGACGACACAACACCAGGAGAGGAGACAAGAAGAAGAGAGGAGACAAGACGAGACACAGGAGAGGAGGGAATAGAAGAGGAGCGAGGGGGGAGGGGAAGGAAGAAGGTGAGAAGAAGGGGTAATGAGAGGAGGTGGAGGGAAGGTGAGGAAGTTTATAAAAATGAAGAGACGAGAGAGAGAAAAGAGGGAGAAAAAGAAAAAGGCAGGCGGGAAAAGGAGGAGAAAGTTTAAAGGAGGAGAAATGAGGAAGGAGGTCGAAAGACCGAGGAAGAAAAGAAGAAAGGACGAAGAGAAAGGTGAATGGTTAAGGTTGAGGAGAAAGAAAGAAATGAAGGTCAGAAAGGTAAGAGAGGAGAAAAAGCAGGTAAAAATAAACGGACAGGTAAGAAGGAAAAGAGAGAGTGAAGGACGGAGAGAGGAGAGCAGAGCGGTAACAACACATCAGTAAAGATCATCAAACAGATTACAGAGCTAAATGGTCGCTCTCGTCGGTCATAAATCTGACTCCAACACCGCTTATAGCCGTCGAGGGTGAAGTCAGCGAGACGGGAACCCTGGAGGGACGACGCGGCAGGACACAAACACTCTCGACTCTCCACGTGGTCATTCCATCATGACGACTTCTTTATTTATCAACTGTGGATTCAGAAGTCCTCTTCTCTCTCCTACCTGCTGCACACCTGAGGGAGGGGGAGGGGCCCCGTCTTTACCTTCATACTTTTCCCCACGCATGTCTAGATTCTTTGTTGTTATCGTTTTCACCTGGCGTCCTATTGTCCGTCGTTTTGTTCCATCAGGTTAGACTTTCCTTCTCCGGTGGTGTAAAAAAAGGCTCCTGTCCTTTTTAACTACTCGTACAAGAAACTCCGCCTCGCGTATCCTGTGATGGTTTTGGATTGCTGGTTGTGCACGTCATCAGACATTAACGCTACATGTCCGGGAGATGCAATATGCATATGACCACTAGGGGCAGTGTAGGGCTCAACATCGGAGACACCAGAGAGCAGCTACAACAATGGCGGAAAGTTTTGAAGAAGTAAACAGATCAAGTCTGCATGACTACCCGCACTATGATGTGTCGTTGCTGTTGCATAGCAACAAACATGCACGCCAAAATAGCTGGCGACAGACAGTCTTAATCTTCACACCTTTTTCTAATTTAGCCATAGTCATAGTCTCCTGACGAAAATGTCTTTTATATTTAGTCAGATATTAGTCATTTGTTATTGATTTAATTTTGTCAATTAGTCACTGACTAAAATTGCACATCATTTTAGTTGACGAAAATAGAAAATATTTTAGTCAACAAAATCAGACGCAAGCTTTTATTTTTGATTATCAGAAGCTCACTGCTGCATTCAGGTGCTGCTCGGGTGGAATGTTGTAACAACAGCACAAACAAGCGTTGATGCTACAGAGAAGATCAGTGAAATGTGACTGTTTAAAGTTATATTTGATAATAAAGTTAATGTGCAATATGTGAATGAATAAAAAGTCTGTTAACATTAACAAAATATATTTTGCCCCAATTTGATGATGATTCTGACATCAAGTCGGGAAGTCGGGCACCTAATTATTTTCCGAGTTGTTGGTCACTTCAATCATTAAATAAACACAGACAAAGTTCTAAATGATTACGTGTGATTTTATTGCATTTTATTGCCCGTCTTTTGTCCGTCTCGTCCTGGGTCGCCTTTTTCTTTCTTTTGGTTACATTTTGAATCCTCATAAGTTTTCTGTCTCTGTGTTTTGAGCTTTCATTTGATTGCTTTGGTAAAGCAGGCCATTACAAAATATAAATAAAGTCCTTTTTTTATTTTACCTGCAAGGTGACAACTTGAGAGAAAATGGCCTCGGGGACGGCGAGCAGGACGGACAGCAGCCAGATAGAAACGGCCTTCAGACACGTCCAGAAGACGGCGCTGGACGTCTGGATGTCCATCGGGTTTACGATCGCCTTATACCTGACGGAGAGACACAGAGAAATATCCATCTAAGTTTAGATAAATAACAACAGTTGATCTCTCTCCAGCAGGTTCACTGTTGCCTCATTCCTTCAGGCTGTGAAATCAAGCTGCACTGATTTCACACTTGACGTGCATCATTCTCATCAAACACCTCCTTCTGTTAGCGCTCGAACAGAAGGCGCCTCCTCCACCCCATCATCCACCTCCATCACTCTTCAAACGTTTGCATGTGAAATTAAACTGTGAGGAGTGATGAGGAGGCGGAGCCTGGATGCCAAACACAAACTATGTTCTTGCTGCAATAAATCTCATAAAGTCTTTGTCTGACTGTAGGTCGTTGGCTTTGTTCTGATGCAGATGATGAAACGATTTGTTTCTTTCACATCTCCGTTAAGGCGCCAAAGCACATCAACGCAGGGAATGTCCGAACGCCATTACGTCACAGCCTCATTTCCACACTGTGTAGGTAAACAAATGACATGCGCCCTTAGTCACACTGCATTGTGGGATGCCTCCAAGACACTCGCTAAATAGTTAGCCTTCCGACACAAAGAACCGAGGGGTTGACTCGCAGCAGTCAGGAGGTCAAGTATGTCATAATAATATATAATATTTTTAGCAGATGAGCATTTTTGTCAAATGTTTGACACTGATACAAAAATACAGAAGTTAGCTAACTTGAGAATCATCGGATGAACAAGGGGTGGCTTTCAACGCTCTGCTGGTGTTACGGTGAAACATGTGACTCTGTTAACTGGTGACTTTGAACTGAATGTCTCAGAGGTTGTTGACTAGAACGAAAAAGTCCTCACACACGTTTCTTTAATAGAATAGAATAGAATAAAACTTTACTTGTCCACAGTGGAAAATTGTCTTTGGCTTCACAAGAACAAGACAGAAAAAACATGATGACAAACAAGACAAGCACAGCAGGAAACCAGGAGAGCGCCTGTAGTACTCGACAACATCACAGTCAGCATGGTTCGTGAATTTAAAATAATAATTTAGTATAATAATAATAAGTCAGATTTTAAGACATTTCATAAAGTTATAGGTTAAAAAAAAAAGTCATTTCATAAAACAATGTGCAGTTAGAGTTGTCATTAAATTCATATCTGTTGCGTTAAAGCTTCTAAAACTAGCATGATTTTGAAAGTAGCATTCCCTCAGTGATCTGTCTGCACCCCCTCCCCTCTGTGCTCCCTCTAAAGCCACGCCCCCTCACTGACATGCACAAGTGCCGTCTCTCCAGAAGCGGACCTCAGCTCATATCTTAAGTGTGGGCTCGTGCACGTGAGGGTTAGAGAGCAAGCAGGGAGACAGGGAGGCGCCTGATTGGTTCATCAGATTGGTACCTCGTGGCAGACATTGGTTGAAGTTTTTACAGACTTACAAACTGATACAGATGATGGATTTTCTTTGTTCCTTTTTCAGAGAACATGAGTTATTATTAATTTCTGTCAGGACCTAAAGACAATTTCAACTAAAATCTTAAAAAGTGAATCAGGAGGAAATGACCAACCCTGACTTTAACTTCAATCAGTTAAAGTACTCATTCTTGTTTTCGTGCAGCTAAAGGTCGCCAGCTAACACGGTCACTTTTCAAACCGTAACACCTCAGAGGGCGATCTTTGTGTTCGCATACGCCGAGGAGGGAAACGCCCCCTTGTTTGGATCACCTTCTCCAAATGATGCCGGGGGGAAAACACCCTCAGACAAACAGGTTCCCTGAGTCCACTCAGAGACCCCCACTCTGTGTTAGAAATGGTGCTAAACATTCATACAGTAGGCTTACATAAGAAATAAATGCAGACGAATATGCAAGGACTCATTGCGTCCAACAAGTCCTCCAGCTCATACGGCCTCATGGTTCCCTTTTTATTCTGCTGCACACTCACAGACACGTCAGGATAAGTCGAAGCATGGACTGAAATCATATTAAAACATTGTACACGGTGTATCTCTAATAACTTATTAGACCTCAGCAGGCTGCCCCCCCCCCCCCCCCCCCCCCCCCCGGAGATCTCTGCATTATTCAGACAGTGTAACCATTACCGTTCCCCTCTCGGATGAAAACTTAAACATAAATCATCTGGTAATCGGAGTTTAAATTTGTCTTCAGGCAGCGTTAGCGGCTCCGGGCGTTTTGTTAGTTAATGAGGAAGTGGTCAGAGAGCTGAGGCTGCAGAACAAAGAGAGGAGACTGGAACACTTCTTCACCCTCCGATAGTAAATGATCCTTCATGAGAAATGATTGAGCTGGAAATACAGCATCAGAGTTTGACAGATATTCAGCCGGACCGAGTCACAGTTTGGGGTTAGAGTATGTTATATGTATGTGTGTATATATATATATATATATATATATATATATATATATATATATATATATATATACACATTTTTTAAATAATTTATTATTTTATTATCAATATTTATTATTATTTATTTATTTTTTCATTGTTAAAATTTTTAATTGCTAATTATTACTTTTCATTATTATTATTGTATTATTTGTTATTACATGCTTTGGCAATATATTTTACACATTCATGTCAATAAAGCTATTTGAACTGAATTGAATTATATGAAACAGAGACATGATCCATGATCACCCATCACATTCCTGACTTTAAATTCCCTCATTGCTGTTCTGACTTTTTGTCATTTGAGCTGTTTGCATCTTTCACTCATGATATCTTTTTGACATTTCTGATTCACTACTCTTTTTTATCCGCCATCTCATTTTATATTCCCTCTGTTGTCTCGGCCAAAAGATTTTTTGAAAAGTTGTTCCAGGAGTCTAACCTGCATTTTTTACTGACCACACAGTCCGTGTGCGCTGTGTTACGTCAGAACGGCGTGCACCCTGCTCCAATGGGCTCGTTTCAGGAGGATTTGTTATCAAACAGCCAAACAACAAACTAGTGTTGAAGTCAAGACCAGACTAACCAAGACCAGAGTGCTCTGAGACCGAAACAAGACCGAGACATTCAAGGACCAAAACCAAGACCAAGACCAAGACCAAGACCAAGACCAAGATATTTAGGGATCGAGACTGAGACAGGTCCAAGACATTCAGGGTTGGAAAACGAGTCAAGACAAAGACATTTAGGGATCCAGACCGAGTCAAGACCAACACCAAGGTAGGAAGAGACCAAGACAAAGACCAAGACAAAGACAAAGACAAAGACAAAGACAAAGACAGAGACAAAGACAGAGACAGAGACAGAGACAGAGACAGAGACAGAGACAGAGACCGAGACCGAGACCGAGACAGGGCATGACTGAGACAAGACTGCTGCATTAACCGGGAGATATAAATCAAAATACAAATGACTTGAAGTTATTTGTTCTTTAGGAAAGAGGCGTTTTCCTTCTAATCACAGGAATGACGATCAGTGGTGGTCTGGTCCAGAGTCCCCCCCAGTCTCAGACTGAGATGAGACCTTCATAAAGTGGTCTCGAGACCGGTCTTGAGACCAAGACTCATTTGGAGTACCACAACACCAAAACCAACTCCTCCCTCCAGGAGTCCAGCTGCTTCTAATGTTTGTTTCATTTCCTGTTCACTCAGATTACAGTTTGACTCCTTCCACACTAAGAAGTAGTCCCTCTCTCCCTGCTGTGTTTGAACCCCCACCAGGGTCACACGGCGGTCTTCCTTCAGCCAGTCATGAATCTCACACTCTGTCAGACACCTCTCTGACATCATCTCTCTTTTATGTTTGATGGATGTAATGCCTTATTGATTATTTATGTCGTGTGGGAGCTAAAAGTTCTGCGTTTGGTCCTCGGGGCAGTTCAGTTTTTCACACATTAAAGTCCGGTGCTCGCTCAGTCATGCAGGTGTTTGAGAGGCGTTAAGATGTCGGGGGCGGTAACTGCACGTATGAGCAACCACTGCGACGAGATTTCATCCCCCAAAAGAGCCGTCAATGTGACTTAAACTTCAAGCTTGACGGCCCGAACGCAGCCTGAAATACGCCCGTTTAATCACATCAGGAGGTGATGTGGAGGGAGAACGCTGTGGGGCAGTCCCTCAGGGTGCGTCGCCATGGTCAGTATCGTCCCGTCCGGCATGTGTCCAACCGTCCCCTACAAACTGCAATTCTACAATTCACTTAGCAGACACTTTTATCCAAAGCAACGTACATCAGAGAGTAAGAACAACACAAGCAAGGATCTAGAAAAAAGGGAACAATGTGAGTAAGAGCAAACGATCAGCTTTGAGTCTGATTGGACACACAGGTGCTGACAGGAAGTGACCAGAGGCAAAGCACAACATTGAGGGCAGTTTTTGAGAGCTCTAATCAGTATAGAAACCATCTTATAAGTCGTCGTTATCAAACAGAAACCATCGTCATTACCATCATCATCATCAATAATATGGAGATCATCATCATTAAGTTAGTAGGTATTCATGAAAGAGCTGGCTCTTTAGCTTTTTCTTAAAGGTGGCAGAGGGACTCAAATGGAGTTTGGAAGTTCCCTGACCTGAATTATTACAAATCTGTATGTGATATTAAAGTATTTCAAAGTATTTCAGTATTTTAACCGGTATTTTGGGGTTAGCTCATTAAAACGCAGCTCACTGTTTCTACAAATCCACTTAAAAGACAAGCCGTCGTCCTCCCTGATGGATTTGCAGCCAGGAGCTTCTTGGTGTGCGGATCTTGTTTTGCTTTCAACAGCCAGTAACAGCACACATGAGCCTTAAGTCTGAGCGCTAGGAGCAGAGTAGTTTAGTTCAACCTGATCGGGCAGGACATGCCTGCAACTTTTTTATAAATCGTTTAAATTCTTAATATGTGATTTTTCACACTTAAATATAATATAAATCAAGTCTATCCTCTGAAAATAACTCTGTGAGTCATGACTGTCTACAATGGGTGTAACACCCGAGTCCCACTGTCTGTGATGTTTTCAGAGTTTTCAGAGTCCTATCTTCACTTTGTTTACATCGCCAGGACGGCCGGCTGACTCCTCCCCTCGTG